ATTTGCCCTATTTTTTTCCTTAGTGCGTCTTGTCTTGATGTGCCCGAAATAGAGGTGGCACCAGCCGTTTGCTAAAAATACAGAAGTAGTATTAGAAAACTAAAGGAAAGTGTTCTAAGCGCTGCAACTACAACGCTCTAAACACTGAACGCTTGGTTCCTCCATTGATTGCGTGGGCGTCTTTGCTTACGTTACCCTCCCAAAGATCTCAAGTCAAACGAGCTTTTCGGTGAAGCATCATCCTCCATGCGAACACTCATACAGTACGTGATTCCATCTCACCCGTCTCTCARGAGCCTCAAGTCCTATGAGCTTTCKACATGTCTTAACCAAAGCTCATGCAGTTTGTGGGTCCATCTTAAGCGGACGTCTATAAAAATCTTGCGAAAACAGTTGTCCTGAAAGTTTTCTTATCTCATAGCAGCTGTTTGGCWGGAGTTATGTTTGGGTCAATGTCCAGWCTTTGATTATACGGGAAATTTATGCTGGTTTCGAGGCAGTGACATAATTCCCAAGAAGCGAGGAATCTTTCTGTGTCAGCGTCAAGTACTTTAGTTCATCAGAAGATCAACTATTTCGCTTCTTTTTGTAGAGAATTTAGACATAACGTCAAAAAGGTAGCTCCAAACAGCGATGTCGCAAGYGGCTTTGAAATTGATATAACGGTAAGCGCTCAGCCGGATCTTCGAAGTCATTTTTACTGGAAAGAAGCAAAAAAAGAAATCCTTATATCAAAGTGACAGCACGCGMMGGCGGTAACTTCGAGTGTTCGAAATGTATGAATTCTCATAAGACRGTTGAAGCCGGTGCGATTTTATGGTCCAAGCCTAAACAAACCGCGATTTTCCACAGCGATATAGTTATATATCATCATGTCTAAAATCACTTTCCACAAATTAACTGTCACCTAAAYGACAGCCAGCAGAGTGTAATTGAAAAATGTTGCAACAATTAATAAATCTCTATGACAAACACATATGGACTTATCACACCAGCARCAGGTAACAGCCTGTGCGCATGACAAATGTGTGGGCGTGTCAATTGATTTGAAATCCATTCAATTTGAAAGCGACAAGAGTAGCGACTACAATAAGTCAACAAAGAGCCAGCCGGCGAGGATAAAGTTGAGCGCTTTCGGCGCGCCTAAGTCGAGCGCACAAATGCTGCCGACCGTAAACAAGCTCATAAATTTGCACAACTGTCGGCAGGCAGTAAATTAAACAGCCATAAAACAGGATAATTAAACCAGCGACGCTGAATGTAGTAGCTACCAAAGAGCTGTAGGCGCAAAGGCTTCGTTGGTACTGTGAAGTAGCGGCKGGCATCAGGGCGCGCGCGCGGCGCAGCAACAGCTAAGCTTATAGGCCGGCGCGTCGCTAGTGTTAAGCGTGTGATGTACTAATAGCAGTTAAAATTAGAGTTTAAACAGCTTTACGCAAACTGCGGCAGCCACAGAAATGGCAACAGCAACGACAACAGCAGCAGCASCAAGTATAAAGTAGCGATTAATAAAATAWCAGCAACTATCGGTYTTTGCTGTCGCTGMCAAGTGTCCGATGGCAGCGTAGCGGCCACAACATGTTGCCCTGTTGCATGCTATGTACAACACGATGCACGTRTAAGTCTTGCTGCGTCTGCTGTGCTTGCCACCGCTTGCCGCATGCCACATGCAACACGCAAACACTTGTTCGCCAATTGACAATCGCTTTTGGTCGTTAATTTTCTATTGCTGGGCTTCTGCCGACGGCGACGGGCCATAAAGATGGCGGTATTTCGGCATTCCTCGATGACTTGCAGCTTCCTGAAGTTTTTTATTGCAAGTTTTGTGCGAGCGCTATGTTTAAGGCACTGCAATCAAGCAGCCAGTTCGTGTTCACATTCGTCTTCGACAATTAATGATGGCTTTAGATAGAAAGAATGAAAGTTGCATACGAGTAGTAAACGCGCGTGGCACAGTAGTTGCGTTCACTAATCGTACAGTAGGCAGCAGGCCATGAAATTAATGGTTACRTTGATCAAGATCTATTTGAAAGGGTTTATGCGGCAATAGTTGTTGATTTGAGGATGACAGACGGGAAGACATGGGTTTCTGAATGGTTTGGTGCTTTGAAGGTATGACTTTCTGGAAGATTTTGTGCCTGTAAGCAGACAGAGGCTAAGGTATGACTTTCCGAAACGTTTGTAGCCTGGAGGATGGCAGACGTTAAAGTATAACTTTCGAGAGACATGGAGCTTTGAGGATGACAGACGCTAAGGTATAGCTTACCGGAGGATTTAAAATAGGCGCTACTCGTCTGTCAGCCATGTATTCTCTATAGTATAATATGAGTCTCTAAAGCACACAGATCAAGTTTTCGTCGAAAAAAAGCCGATCCTGTAAACTATGGAAAGCCTTGCCGCAGCTAGGATTCTTTGAACGATAAAAATAAGTGAAAATGGCGCCAAAAGGGAACCCCTCTTACGGCAGCCACCCCTAAGAAACCCGAACCGATTCAAGTTAATGGCTAGTCTAAGAATTTTCAACTCGGCCGCATTCCCATCACAGTTAGGCTAACCGAAGAAGAACGTCCTCCGCTTTATATCTTTCTAAGGACTACGAACTTGGCGCCATTCACATGACACTCGAGCGAAAGAAACCAGAATCGATTCATTCCTATACTCGTCTATAGACTTTCTAATCGGTAAAATTCGCACGACAGTCGGACTAGACTTCAGTCTCSGGTCAGACCTTATAGCCTTTGCTACTCCCAGTTCGCAACAAACTCAATGACTGGTGAGGAATCTCATTCAGAGTCTATAATATCATTTCTGACAAAGACTATGCTGAAATTTCTAGGCAAGAAATAAATACAGACATATGTAGTGCTTATGGATTTTAGTCGCCTCTTACGACCAGTGTACATATGATATCTTTTTAACTAACATCTAACACAATGCTCCATGGCAACTGCCGCCATTAAAGGAGCCGTTTGAAGGCTATAATTTAACCAACGGACTGAAAGAAGTTAGATTTGTTCACGGTATAAAGAAACCCTGCAATAGTTGTCATTCTCCGAAGAGAGAAGCAGTCGTACGAAGACTAAACTTCATCCATCGGCAAATCAAAGTCGGCTTTGTTCTCGGTATAAACAAAACCCACAATATTTGTCATTCTCCGAACATAGTTTTATAGGCTTCCATTGTCAATTTAAGACCATTAAGCGTGGTCATACTTGAAAGTGATGGCCGACAGTAGTCAAGCGCYTTTAATAGCGGTAATTCGCCTACTGTTTCGTTTAATTGGCTGTTGATGTATTTCAGCTACTGAAATTTACCAAATTTATCGGAGCTTAACGATATTATGGCAAAATTCTTTTCTTCTCGGCTCACTTTGTTTCACGTTAATGCATTTCAATTGTTCCGCGCATGCGCCTTTCATCGATGGATCGCCTTATGCGTGCCTCTATCGTTTTTCACTCGTTACAACAACGCTTGTAAATGCGTTTGCGCGACTTGTTGCTGACAACAAATTCCGACATGACAGCATCTTTGCCAGACACGCTTGTTCAACACGCCGCTGGACGTGGCGCACGACGCGCCCGCTTGTCGATCTATTGCCTATCGGGTGGTTGTTGTTGTGTTGCCGGTTGTTAGTCGGTTTTTTTTTTTTTTTTGTTTCTTATCAGCATTTGCATGTCCTGTCTGTGTCGCGCTGTAATGTTGCAATTAAGCGTCAACGTGTCGCGAACGTGCAACGCGTTAAAGCGTACAATATTTGTCAATTTTCACTGGAATTTCCATATCATTTGCTAGTTTGGTCGCCGTGCCGTATCGTTGGGAGTCTGTGCGCCGTCACGCAGCCAACAACTGAAATTCACTGCGTGTACCGCACCCGAATGCTTCCGTCACCAAGAGTGGACAAAAATTTGCATGCGTGCAACACGCCCTGTTGGCATGCGCTAAATAGCGAGGCGATCGCTGATTGAAGCGATGAACTGTTAGTAAACATTTACCAAAGAAAAAAATTTTGAAATAAGAAGTCGAAAACTACCGGGCGACAACATATGCAAATATTAAGCTGGAAATGCGGTTCGAGATCATTTAAATTGTTATTGTTGTAGCGGCAGAAAAGATCACTATAGTAACCATTTCCACGACAGTCGGGTCTAAGTAATCAGAACGGACCCGGATTTGTATCCGACCAAGTGGAATAAAAATTGGGGTCCCCTCCAGTTACTTGAACCCGACTGAATGGAGAGCGAGATTTTAAACAGATAGCATTAATATTTTCAACATAAACTTCCTTTGATTAGGTCTACCTATTAGCGGGTGACAAGGCTCTAGTTGATTGTCAACGAAATCATCGAACAGGAGGCCCAGAAAACGTTATGTTTTAGACAGGGTCATAGCATAGGGACAGGGAGTTAAATGAGTGGGATTCTTTGGGTCAGAAATCGTGCTTTTTCGACGCGGTCGAAGCATAGGGGTCGGGTGTTAGATAAGTGGGATTCATTGAACATGCCGAGAGGTGGTTACCGTCATGCCGAAATGATCCCGCATAAGTAGTAATTTGACATGCTACAGCATCCAGAACAAAATAGTGGAAGTGTCACCCTAGATTAGCGGGACAACTCCAGCTCTTCGTTTGCAATGGGTTGAGGTTTGACGCCATACACTGAGAGGAGGTTGGTGACACCACTACGAATAGCAGCCTCTGCATGTCTAAAGTTATTATAATACGTCTGGAGCTTCCTTGTCTGGATTTCCAACAACGTTTCTTTGTTTTTTCTCCACTGCCGGCTAGCGACTGGAGGATTTTGATGCGGCTCTGCATTTTGGTGGTTATCGTATGTAACGCCGAAAATCTTTGGGTTGTTGGCATTTGGAATTTTATCGTAATCAACTGTGATGTTAAGGTCCAGTTCCAACAAAAAAAAAAAAAAAAAATTGCTAAATAATGTTTCTAAGTGTGAGTTAACTGTAGAACTATATTTTAAGAGTTTTTAATTATAATAACATTTCTATAAATTACTCTCAGCTTTCTCTACTTGACACTGTTGCTGGACAGCGCCGAATTTTTCTCTATTACCCTCCCACTGCACAGTTTGGTAGTGCACTTCACGCTCAACATGTGTATCCGTTCCCACTTCATCCTTACCAAAGTAAGCAAATATGCAAATCTTATTGACTATTACAGACAAACGCACTTTGGCTATTAAGTCCAAAGGTTGTATGATCGGTGTGTCAAGTAGTATCACAATATGCGAAGCATGATATTGTAGTGGATCGCCTGGATATAGCAGAAAATCAGCACCGAATGCGTCGCCCGCGGTAACGTAGTAGCCTCGCGTCCAAAAATCGCAAAAMACTTTATATTTAAGGGCGTTGTCGATAGCAGGTGGCTCAAAAATTTTGAAAGCTATAAATATAGTTACTGAGGAAGACACATTTATTTTAAAAATATAGAGTTATTTACTGTGCGCTTGCCTATGCGCGCATGTTATTTCCAATTGTGCATTCTTGCGTTGAAATACGAAATTATCMGCAGTTTCTTGCAGGATTTTCGAAGCATCTAACACAATCTCTGTTCAAAATGTAGTTTTAGATTAAATATATATTATAAATGAGATTTTCATTAAATTATACCGGCTTCAGGCACACCTTCCTTCAAAAGTTTCTTACGTTTTCCCTCAAGAATCTTACTCATATTACGTTCAGTTTCGTGTAACTTTTCAGTCTTCAGGGTTTCCGCTTGAGCTGCAAAGCCTGCATCCAACGACTCTTGGTACTCCGTCAACTCTTTAGCAACCGGCACTCGCAGTAAAGATTCATGCTTTGAAACCAATTGAGCAATGKCACGCTCTACCAAAAATCGTGTTTCATATGGCGTCAGCTCCAGCGGTAGAGCTAAAAGAGAAAGAATACATTTTAAAAAGTGCAATGGAATGTATATTTAATGTTACAATTAACTGCAATCGTTCGCCGACCAACCACGCATATTGCATGTGCCCACCAGCGCACCCACAATGCGGTGCTTTTGCCGCAATGCGATATAGTCTGSAAGAGAATTTTCGTGACCTTTATGTAAATAAGGATATGTAAATATATTTACTCACCGTCCACATTGAAGACATAGCCAGTGCCATTTATTAATGTTAAATTAATTTTCTTGGCTGTAACATTATTTCGCACTGGAGCATCCATTGTTTTGTTTACGAATTAGGTGTAAAGAAAGTTTGCACGGCGACATCTACCCGACGAATTTACATATGAATTATGAATATTTTTCGAATTTGTCAAAAAGCGTCGGAAGAAATTGTTTTTATAAAAATAAACTTATAGCAATATAAATAAATATTAATTAATATTTTTTTTAGTTTARAATTATTATGATATAAATTTTAATTAGTTCGCTTTTAATATCAAAATACTTAGGTAGTATTCATAACTGACTTTGCTACAGGTGGCAGCACTAATAAAAATCTAGACGTCAAAAGCTGGAAAACCGCTTTCGCGGAATAGACTTTTATGTTATTCTAGAATTTCTGCATTATTTTACAMGTATAAATTTAATTTCATTTCTAAGCAGTTAAGTGATTAAATTAAAACCAAAATGTCTTTCATGAATCCCGTGGATATGGTTGAGGAGGATGCAGCGGATCTTCAATTTCCAAAGGGTAAGTCGACATCTAATTTTGTGATSTGTTGCCCACAAGTGAAACGCGCGATATTAGTGTTTTTGAAAACTATGCGATACACTTAGACGCAACAATTAGTTTTATCATTTTCATTTTGTAGTCAAATTAGAAGTTCCGAATAATTTGTCAAGAGTTAATGGCAACCAACAAAAGCACATTATAAAAGTGCGCCCGCAAGCTGATACAAAATATACAACAACCTACTATAATGCTGAGGAGTTCAACAGAAACCTCGAGCAGCGCACTAAAGCTATACAACCAAAGAATGCGGATTACATACAAGCTGGTGTAAATAACACCGAACGTTGTAGCACCTGCAACTGCGATCTCTACGAACCGTATATAAAGTGTCCCGATTGTGAGTATACGCTGCTGTGTATGCAATGTTTTGCTCAGGGACGCGAGACTGCAACGCATCTTAACACACATTCGTATATCATTGTGCGCGATGATATACAAGTATTCCCGGGTGCAAACAATTGGACGGCAAGGGATGAGCGTATACTCTTACGCACGCTAGAAAAGAAAGGCTATGGCAATTGGGAAGCGGTATCGCATGCATTACAACTGCGACATAGCGCTGATGAATGCCGTCAGCATTATCATAATTTTTATTTTGGTGGTATTTTTGAACGCCTACTTGGTTTGACACATTCAAGAAATACTTACTTTCCCGAACGTATGCCTTATGTGGTAAAGATGCGTTCGGTGGATCCGCCGCGTAGCGATGAGCCGGGTACAATGCAATTTAAAATGATGGCGGGTTATCGTTGTGCACGAGGTGACTTCGACACACCATACGACAACTCAGCTGAGGGCATATTGACGACAATCATGCAAGATACCTTTAACACGAATGCGGCAAAAGATGACTACGAAGAAACGCTTGATGAAAATAGTCGTAATGCTTACGAAGAATTACAATTGGCAATGGTGGCGGCTTATAACAATCGCTTGAGGTATTGAAGTTTATTTATTAACAAACAAGCAAATAATTCGATTTTTTTATTTTATTTTTTTTTTTTATAATATTTTCACTTATAAACACAGAGAACGGCAACGTCGTTATAAAATAATGCGTGACCATGGTCTTATAATGCCAAATCGAACATTGGGCTGGATTTCCAAGTATGGTGAAGCGCTAGGTTCCGAATCGAATTGCAGTCGTTTTCTATCATTCATGCAAATTTGCAAGCCCGCTAAGTTTGATATGTTGGTTGAGTCATTAAAATATTTCACAGACACCCAAAAGATGATTTATCGGTAAGGATTTTTTTTTTAAATTATTATAAAACATAACCACACTTTTTACAACCTACAGTTTATATGAGCTACGTCAGAATGGTGTACGGACACTAGCAGGCGGTTCGTTATATTTCAAATTGAAGAAACGCCGGGCACAACAGCAGCGTGATCGCCAAAAAGACGAAATCTATCGACAAGTGCACGATTGGCGTAAGCTAATACCAAGCACACAAACGCTTGTGCCCAATCCCTTTGCCACAGCTAATGTAGTAAGCAATCCTAGGCGAAAAGCTGCACCCATGGACATTATCGGTTTGTTACATAAAGTTTACAGTTTTCCCTTTATTTATTAAATAAATTTATTTTGCCTTCTAGGTATGCCGGGTTATACGCGCCTCACCGATGGCGAACGCAAACTGTGTAGTGTTGAACGTATAGCGCCACAAGCATATATTGACTATAAAAATATATTAATAGCGGAAAACATGAAAATGGGTCATTTGCGTCTGGCCGATGCGAGACGTTTAATCAAAATCGATGTCAATAAAACACGCCAAATATATGATTTCCTGATTGAAAATGGACACATAAATAGACCCCTGTGATTTGTTTGCCTTTTAGCGTCTCACAACAAGTACCAACAACAAGCTTGTTTATTATTGCTAGATGTTAGTTTCAGTTGCGTTTCACTTGTGTTGCACATGCGTATTTCTCTAACCGTTATTTAAAAAAAAAAATACTAATATTAATAAATACATTTTTTTTCATACACAGAATTTGAGAACGCCGAGACCTTGTTGATATCCGAAGTTCACATGTTGCTTGACCAYCGCAAACGACAGAACGAATCCGCCGATGAGGAGCAGGAATTCTCCGAAGTTTTTATGAAGACATATGCATACACAGATAGTTTTCGTAAATTCAAAAATAAGGAAACAATTGCAGCGGTACGCAGGTGAGTTATAACGAAACTAAATAAAGCTCTTTTGTTCATCCCATTCACTAAAATGTCTAAAACGAACCTTTCACTCTGAAAAAAAAACTTTCTAAAATCTATCCATTATTTTTTTCAGTCTTTTAATGCAGAAAAAATTGCATAAATTCGAATTGGCCGCACTGGGTAACCTGTGCCCCGAAGCGCCCGAGGAGGCTAAGGCGTTAATACCATCGTTAGAAGGACGTTTCGAAGACGAAGAGTTGCGACAAATACTTGACGACATAGGCACCAAGCGCAGCTTACAATATTGATATGWTTTAACACCATTTTTCATACATTCTTTTATAAATACTGTAATTATAAAGTAATTTTCGTAGCAATGAAATTGTAAAAAGGAAAAATTAACATGTTTTTCTCCTAAAACTAACACAATATCCCTTAGTACTATGTACAAGCGTTTTGCTCACTGTCTTCTACTTGAAAAATAAAAGACTTACAAGTGTAGTTTATTTATAATATAATATAGTCAGTGTTTGATATAATATATATGTCAATAACGGGTGATTCAGAGTTAAAAAAAGTCTTGCTATTTTTTGCCCACAGACTTAGAACTCTACTGACACAATATGCGCAGTTTAGCTATTTAATCCTTCACCAGTTCCCTGCCAGTGATTGCCTTGCTTGAAGTCAAACTGCCAMCCAAACCTCGAGACGAAGAGTTCGAGTTGTCTCGCAATTATAGASTGACCCTTGCGCAACTTCGTTCTTAGTAAGCTAAACACCTACCTATCCATAATCGACCCCAACATACCCAAAATATATGTTCTGCGTTCACTCTGTTCCCGCACGACTTGGCTCCGTTTCCTGKGCCTATCGTTAGATGACAACCGACCCGAACCTTATMACYYAAACGGGSACTAGATAACTGCTACAACAACAACTCTTAAAAAMRTCAAGAAGACAGCCTTAGATACTTCGAAAATGCCATCCGAAAGCGCGAAAAAAATGCTGGTAAAGTTTGAGCTGTTAATATTGATAATAAAAGGCTTACGGTTCTGTATAGAAATAACACAGGGATATTTCCTTACCATCATTTCGAATGATATTTCCACCGTATATAATAAAAAGAAAATTGTTGATTATTTACTGACTTAAAATTATATTTTTTTTGGTGCACCCTAATATACATATGTTGTATGTATGAATGACCTTAGGGATGATATTTCTACAGTATCTTAGGAAAAAAACTTAAAAAACGTTGGCCCAATTTAATATACACATATTTATGTACATTAGGGTGAGTAAAAAAAAATCCAATTTTTTCGCTGCGTACTCTGAAATAAAAATAACATACCATTTTTTAGAGCAGACAAATTTCTACAAAACTATGTATTCGATTTTTTTTTACCCATCCTAATACGACATAAGACTAAAGTTAGTGAAGAAATTTTTTTTAAGAACCTATTTTTCAGAGTACCAAGTGAAATAAAATTAGTTTTTTGACCCACCCTAATACGACAAAAGACTAAAGATAGTGAATAATTTTTTYCTTTGCCTGTGAGTGAAGTCATTAACATTTTATTGTGATCATTGTATAAGAACTTATTTATCAGACTAAAAACWCACATTTATTTTGTCCCACCCTAATACGGCATAAGACTAAAAGTAGTGAAGAAAATGTTTTCAAAGAACCTATTTCTCAGAATACCAAACAAAAAGTAATACYTTTTTTTGACCCACCCTAATACTACATAAGACAAAATAAGAAGAAAATGTTGTTGCTTTGTCTACGAATGAAGGTATTAACATTTTGTTGTTTTCATTGTTTACCTCTCAACTATTTAATACGTTTTCGTTGTAGTTGACATGGATTATGATCAATGTTGCTTACTGAAGCTTATTACTTTATTTTCTCTGAGCTTTTTTTTATACAAAAGCAATATCAAGTTCAATATCTTTCTTTGATTGCAAGACAACAATAAACTCGTATGTATGTATAGTATATGGGTTCCCTTAATTATTTGTATGTATCATAAATTTTTTATCAAGAAATATGTATAAATGGGGACTCCCTTGTTGTCAAGCTTTATTATGAATTTCTCATGTCTTATTGTTATCGTTCATTTTCTCACACCCTGTTTATTTAAGCTCAAGCTAAACCGAAAGCCATTGCTTGATTACATAATTTTGTTGTTTCTCCGTTGCAGTTGTTGCACTAACTCGAAAAGCTTAGAGAGGCCATAATATTCAGGTTTATGTTGGCCTTAGTCTAAGCTAAACAAGCTCTAAATCTGCTTTGGGGGCAACAAAGATAATACTAGCTTT